TCAGAAGAGCATCCAGCAGCTCACTCTTTGTGGGCCCAGTGGTTCCCGCTGGTCAGTGAATTGTTTCTTACAAGCAGTTTCCCTCAAACCTTGTTTTTTGTGATGGCCGACTTAGGAGAACAGCGTGTAGCTGTGAAATTTTGTTTCCTGTTCAGGAAAAATGCCCGCAGAAACTGTTGTGATGTTGAACACAACTTACAAGGACAGTGCTATGGGAAAAAGTGTAGGAGTGGTTTTCTCATTTCAAGAAAGGTGAAATGTCAATTGATGACAATCTTCATCCAGATGTCTTTCAACTTCTGGGGTGGTTGAAAATGTCCACTTGTAGTGCATTTGAAGTTCATTCTACCAGGTCAGACTGTTAATCAAGCTTTCTATTTAGAGGCTTTAAAAAGATTGCTTAACACTGTGTAACCAAAAAATGCCTGACTTGTGGCAGATGGGGGACTGGTTTTGCCACCACGACAATGCACCTACTCATGCAGCTGTCTCAGTGTGCCAGTTTTCGGCAATAAAAAGCATGCCTCTCTTGCCACACTCATTTAACTCACCTGACCTTGCTCTGTGCAACCTCGTTTTGTTTCTGCGAATGCAGAGGGACATGAAAGGGCAGTGGTTTGATGCCTTGCAGAGGTGAAGGAAAGAAAGAGGGAGGTGCTGTCAGCTATCCAAACAGATGAGTTTGAAAAAAATGTTTCCAAGAATGGAATCGCAGATTTGACAAATGTATTAAGTGTAATGGGGAGTACTTGAAGGTGATGAGGCTGTTATATAAACAATCTGTTGTGGGGGGTATCTCCTTGATGCCTCATATTCCTACCTCTTTTCATTGCATCTGCTAAGCTCAGACTCCTCCCTTCTCAACTGGGTAACTGAGAAAACCTAATTGGTCTCTAGCCCCTCTGTCTGTACACCACTTTCCATCACCCTCCCTGCTCGCCACTTTCACCATCATTATTAAACCTTCGTGGAGCTTCCAGAGCTTCTAGGACACAGTGCATTCTTCCAAAGCTGGTGTGACGATGCCCTTGCTCACCTCCCTGCCTTGCCTCCCCCTTCTCCCAGGCTGTCGTTCACAGCCATCCAGTCAGCTCCAATTCACGGCCTGCAGGTGAAACACTGCCCTGTCATGCACCAGCTACCATGGTCCTCCACAGGTGTTGTATTGACTGATACGCAGAAGTTGATCCCTAAGCCCATTTCTCTAGTCTGGTTTAGTCTGGAAGCCCCCCTGAGGGCTGTGTGCAACCTTAAAGGTCCCAGTGACAGACAGGTGGTGGCTGCACCTGAAGTGCATCAGCCGGGACTGGGACCCCGGTCTCCCACGTGGACGGTGCTGTGCAGAACGTGCTTCACGATGAGTATTCTTTTTACTGAAGTATGCCAAAAATGAAGCTCTGTGGCAGAGATTTAATATAATTGCTCATTAATTTTTTACTTTGCAATTTTTCTGTTTATTGCTCCTCCCTTCTCTGAGAATTAAGGTCCGTAATTCCACGTGGTTCGGATGTGAGACACTGGGGAGGGCACCGTCTCCTCTGTGACTCTGGGGGTGGTTTCACTGGCCAGGGCTGCGGAGAGCATGCGTCTCCTGTCTGATCAGACTGCAGACTGAGGGCTGGGGGTCTGGCAAGAATTTGTATACTTGTCTGTTCCCAATCTGGGTATGTCCAGCCTTTATACAATAATCATTTGTCCTAAAAATACCACGTCGACCAAACAGTCCCTATTTTCTTTGGCGCCACTCTGAGTGAAAGGGTGGACCCGTGTCCAGCAAGAGACACAAAACAGAGGGCTCGCCTCTGAGGGAGCAGCCATGGGCCCTCTGTCTCGACAGGATTCCTGTACTTACAGTGCTTTTCTGCACCGAGGAGTTATAAATAACCCCTGTAAAATAAATAAGAGGAGTCGGTTTCAGCTCATTGATTTTTCAGGGATGTTCCTACCTTGCAGAAACATTCCATTTAGAGCCAACGTGATGGGCTGTCGCATGCCTCCCTCTGGTGGACTCTTGCATGAAAGTCAAGTCTACTCTTACTTTTGGAGGGAAAGCTTTCTGGGAAAAGGGACTGAACACACAGTCTTGTTTTTCAGAGAAGTCATAATTATTATAGACAATAGCCCCCATGGAATAACATACATGCTATTGACATATGTAATAAAACAGCGGCAATACAATAGGTAACACTGCTGGGATGGCGTGGTAACTGAGACTCACCGCAGTTTGACCCGGCAGCTCTGTAACGTGCCGCGCCAGCAGAAAATTCAACACGTGTACCGGAGCCCATCCCACAGCCTTCCCAAAGCAAAACTTTTCACTCAGTGGCTCATCATTTTGGAATTTCAGTAAGTGATTATTTTAATTTTGAATAGTTAATTTTGTTACATTTGTTGATAATTTTTCATTCACAACCTTCTGCATCTGGAAAGACGTACAGCCTTGGAGCCCAATGGGATGGTTTTACTCTATCCTTCATGGTCACAATGAGTGGAAATCTACTCAACTTCAACCCAAACCCAAACTCCCTGCCATCGAGTTCATGCCGACTCTCAGTGAACCTGTAGGACAGGGTAGAACTGCTCTGAGAGTTTCCGAGACTAGCTGTTTGTGGAAGGAGAAAGCCCGTCTTTCTCCTGAGGAGCAGCTGGTGTTTTAGAACTGCTGACCTTATGGTTAGCAGCCCAACTCGTAACCAGTACACCACCAGGGCTCCTTCAAAGGCAACAGATATTAAAATAGTTCTATGATGCAGGTAATTAGTCCTTAGTGTTCCCACTCCACAGAGACTTGTAAGAGTGAGTTTAGCTAGCTTGTTATCAGACAGAGAGTATTGTAAAAGCGATTATGGCAGGCGCCTTTAGGTTAAAATGTAATATCTTATCACTTTATCTCTCTATTAACCCATTTTGAACTTGTTTGAGTTTAAAAAGGTGAAGGGGAAATACACATGGATTAAGCCGCGGGCGGATCACCCTGACCATAGACCAGGGATGTGAATACTTTTGCTCTCATGCATCGTGCATTGGGAAGTAGATTATTGCAAATGCAATCAGGTTAAAATTTAACCCTTTATAATTTGATCTCCTTTTTACCCATTGTAAATTTGTTCTGGTTTCTAATATTTTCTGCTTTCTTTCTATGAAAGTTTCTCTGTGTTTTACTTTGTTGCTGTTGTCATTGTTATGTCATTGGTATGTTTTGCAGTAAGTGAAATCCTGGGCAGGTAAATCTACAGAGGCAGTGACTGGATTAGTGATTTCTTGAGGGTATGGCAGGGCAAGGCTGTGGGGTGGGGGGATAGAGAAGGGGTTGGGGAGGGGCATGAGGGGGATGGGGGATGGGGAGGGAGTAGCAGTGAGTACAAGAAAGAAGAAAAGGTTCTAAAGTTGATTTGGGTGATGATTGTGACAACTTTTCTTAATGAGATTAAACTAGTGCGACTGAACTATTGAATTGTATTATATGTGAACTATATGCCAATAAAACTCTTTTTTTAAATGAGCTTGGCTAGAAACTTGTGGAACCAGAAGTCATCCATGTTTTCTTAGCCCATGGTCATGAGTTTCTACATGCATTGCTGTAGTGCCGCACTGTTGCTTACAGTGGTTCAGCAATCAGTATCTCGCGACGTCTGCTGGCTCATAGAGACCCTGTTGGACAGAATGAATTGCCCCCTTGGGTTTCCAAAGCTCTAAATCTTTATGGGAGGAGGAAGCCTCTTCTTTTGCCTATGGAGGTACTGGTGGGTTTGAACTGCTGCCCTTGTGTTTACACCACCGGAGAGCCTAGAAGAGAGAAGTGTATGTGTGGCTCATACCCTGGCGAGGCTTCTAATGAGTACCCGAGGCTTCAGTTTCTGTCACTGAAATAAAACGGTAGTATTACCCCAAGTCAGGGGAAGAGTTTAGTCTACTCCCCTCTTTCTTTGTTCTCATTTTGATTAGACCTGGTAGTAGACAACTTGTTTGATTTAATTTGGAAGGGATAAATTAGGCCTAGTGTCACGGAAACTGGATTTATGAGAAGCCTGTGCGCTATGTCACCAGCTTCCTCACTAAGGCTTCGAGCAGATGATCTTAAGTACTAGTAGCTGAAAGCAGGTTAAAATGGTTAGATACTAATGTTCAAACTGTATCCTGGACCCCATAGGCCCAGGAATGGAGGATTTCCATACAGAATCTTTGAAATAGATAATCAAGGATAACGAGGAATCCCTATCCTGAAAAACTCTCAGAATTAGAATAGGAAATTATCTGAAAATTGAACATTATAAAAATTAACTACCACTTAAAGACTGTACTCGTATTAACTTATTTAATCCTTATAGCTATTCAGTGAAGTAGGGACTATTAGTATAAACATTATTGGAAAAAAAAAAAAAAGCAGCAGCCCAGGGAAGTTACGCTTTGTATTCAAGGTTGCCTGCCTAATGGTGGTGAAACCGAGTTTGCATGTATGTGCTGTGGCTCTAGAGCCCATCATTCTGTCCTGGTGGGAATACTGGATGTCTGCACTGTTCAACATGGTAACCACTAGCCACCTGTGCCTACCAAATACTTGAAATATGGTCAGTGCAGTTAAGGAACAGAATTCTTAGTTTCATTCAATAGTAATTTAGATTTATTCAGTATTAATATAAATTTAGATAGCCTCATGTTGGACAGTAGTCCTTGAAAGAATCATTTAGATTCGTTTAGAATGTAGAGGATACAAGTGCTTTGGGATCACCCAATCTAACTCCTTGTGTTACTGATGATTAAATTGCTGTTCACATGAACTAAGAAATCTGTTTATAGTTTTAAAGTTAAAAAGTGGGGCTTGGGGGTGGGGACCTAATTACAACCCATGTGTGCATACTTCCCAGTCAAGTTACGCTGCTTCTGAAGATTTACATTTCTGCTGCCATGATTAATAGTAGATGGGAAATGGGCATATGGGGGGAAAGGTGGCTTACCTTCTGTGAAATAGATGTTCAATGAAGTCTTCCTTCTTTTCTCAGGTTATAGAAACCCTATCTCGGCTTTCCCGAACTCCTATAGCGTTGGCCACAGGAATCAGGTAAGTTGGTTCTCAGTGGACCATATGAGCCATTTAATTAACTGCAACGATTTGCTATTGCGAAGCATGACGAGTACAGAGACCTGTTTCTCACATGCAGATTGTCTGGTATATAGCTGCCTATTACTTATTAGAAACTTAATGAGCAATTAGGAATGTATTCATAGGAGTACCTAGATACTTTCTTAGATTAGGTACCAGGGATTATCTACCAGGGCTTCTAACAGATTCAGAATAGTTCAGTCCTGACTGACAGCAGTAAGGGCAGCCTGCGTGTTCCTGTTCCAGTCTCTGCCCGTTGGACTTTGGCCCAAGCAGGAAACAGGCAGCATTGCCCTGCGGAGAGATGGCAGCCTGCCACACCGCTTTGAGTATATGGTAGGCTGCCATCTTTGAGCAGGGGACAACAGTCTATTTTCTCCAAAACCTTCAAACTCACAAGTCAGTTCTGACTAATCGCAACCCTATAGAGCAGGGTAAAACTGCCCCTGGGGTTTCTAAGAGTTAGTTCTCAATGGGAGCAGAAAGCCTCCTCTTCCTCCCTCAGGAGGGCTGGTAGGGTGGGATTGGAATTGATGATCTTGGAGTTAGTAGCCCAATGTGTCACACCTGTGCCACCGGGCTTCTACGTGTTTCCTACTCAGGTCAGAATTCAACGCACAGGAGATCTGGTTGCTTTGCATTGTGTACACTGCCTGTGTGTCCATAGGCTGCTATTGCACTGTCTTAAACTGGTTCAAAGTTCTGGTAACTGTACATTGATCAGCCATTGTTCTCAATGGATAGGTCTTTCTTGAACTTCTTCCAATATTTCTGTGCACAAGAATCATAAAGACCAACCCAAATGCTTATTTAAATAAGTATTTTGAAAGCTATTGCTATACATTTATTTCCTGTAGCATGTTTTATTACCATCAAAAGCTATAACAACTCTTAGATTTTAGCAATATAAGAATAACAGCACATGTGTCAAATGATAAGGGCACAGGGATGTGAGAAAATTTGGGAATAAAAGCGTGGAAGCAAGTTGGTGAAGCAATTGATGGCACCTCTGTGCAGTGGAATATTTCCGTCGTCAGCGAGCATGAGGAGGTAGATGCTGCTGTGGTCTGTTCGGCTCCAGGTACCACATACTCAAGTCTCATTAGGAAATGGAGTCCCAGTAACCAAAGAGCTAAGCCTCATGGAAATGGAAGAGCTATTTTATTTTTGTTTGTTTGTTTACCCTGTTCCATAGTCCTGCCTCCAGCGACGTACCTTTCTGGTCCTTTGTTTTTGCCTGTTGCTCACGTTTCTCTGTCTAGCTCACATTCACATTCTAAGGGAGAGTGTCTAAGTGCCGTGTAGAGGACTGATCAGCACGGATGAGGCTCCCCAGTCCCTGGCTGAAGCACAACGGCCCCCAGGGGCACTTTCCCGGAAGACACTGTCTCAGAATAGACCCTGCATTTGGCAGCTTTATACAGAAGCACTCTACAGTGTGGACCAATATCTAAGACTTTGTAGTTTATTCTTCACTACGTCCTCTACATCAGTACATATTTTATGTTGCCTTCAGTAAGCAGATAGTGAAAACAGTATATCGCAGTTTTCATGTGCTTGCACACTCAATTCTGTACAACAGGGAGATGTTGGGCTTTCTTCTTCTCTATCTATATTTTCTGCTGTGGAATTGTAGTGTTATACATGCATGATTAAATGTGTCTAAATTGTTTCAAAAATCAAAACATTGTGCTTCTACATATGAATTAAATTGGAAAATAGGTTTCTCAAAAGTCATGTGCTAATGTGAAACCCTGCGTTTTCAATGTATTACCTAGTAATTTTTTAGTGATTATCTCAATGGGTTCTCTTACACTTTTCTGAAACGTATGACATGTTGACTGCATGGAAGGCAAAGTAAAACTTTTGGCACTTTCTCAATTGCTGTCACTTTTGTTAGACGTACATTTAGGACATGATGCTGGAGTTATGAAAAAGTTTATAGTTAGCTTGAGACAAATAAGCTTAGGAGGAAAATTAAAGGGTAGGGTCAGAAAACTTAACACATCCTTTTCTTTGCATAGAAGACAAGAAAGACTCCTTGTTTGTCCCTAAGATGTACTTGACCCATGTGTCTAATAAATGAAAATAAATGATAAAACTTAGACACTCTAATGTGTGGGTAGAGTAATACCTCAGAGTCAGTCATCTGTAAGGGACACAGCACTTTTGTCTCATGCACTGGAATATAGAAAGATGACTAGTAATGAGTTTGTCATTTGGGTCTGATCTCATAGCTGAACACAGCAGCTCCTTGTTCTCCAACCTGGGACACTGCAGCACCCTGCAGGATGGCAGGAAGAGAAGCAAGTCTATATGCCCCACATTACACCCTCAGGAGCCCTGGTGGCACCCTGGTTAAGCGCTCTGCTGCCATCGTGTGGATTGAGCCTGTCAAGTTTGTGATTTAAACCCACTGGCTACTCCAACGCCGTCTGTTTCCATTGGGACCGCTCTACTCTGTTCTGTGGGATGGTCCGTGAGTTGTCACGGACCCCATGACCGCTAGTCTTTTTTGGCTTGAATTGCACATGTGACCGCAGTGAGCAGTGGCAACTGCCGTGGATGATTTGGGGAGCCCACATGGTGCCTCTCCTGGGGACCCCAGACATAGCTGCAGGGAAGGCTTTTGGGGAGAGCCCTGGATGTTGTGTTGACACAGTGCCTGGTCTGCACAGCAGCTTTTGTATTTAGTGGGGGTCAATGACCAGCCTCTGTGTTGCTATTCAACCGTGTTGTTTCTTCCCCATCCTAGGCCCTTCCCGACAGAAGAAAGCGTCGACGATGAAGACATCTACAAAGGCCTTCCTGACCTGATAGAGTATGTGGGACATTTTCAGCAAAGCCAGTCCACTGATTTTATTTAAATATACATTGCGGGTTTTAACCATTGATGGTAAAGTAATCTTTCTGAACCTGAAAAGTGGTTCCGTGTTGAAAACATGTAAGGGTTCATCTTAAACCTGGTGATCAAACATTTTACAAGAAAATGTACTTTTATTTTTTTTAGTTCTCATTGTATATACCACATTATATTGGACCCTGTGAGGAGTAAAAAAAACCAAAACCAGTGAAGTAAAGTAAAATTTGTAACTTTCTCCAAGGAATCACCTGGGGAGTAGATAAAACCAGAATCAGACAATTAGGAGGCAATTATATGAGTAATAGAATCTACTAGGGGAGTTGTAGGCCAGATAGTACATGTTTTCTATAAATTCAAGGAAGGACAAGATCAGTATGAGATGGAATTACTCAGGGATGTCTCATTAGATGCTGTTTATTCTGAGCAGGGCATCCCTTTGGGTTTTATTATTTAATAGTCAGGAAAGGCAAAAGTTAAGTCCTTGTAGCTGATTATCTTTTGCTGATTGAGTGACTTATGCAAATTACAAATAAATATAAAACATAATCCTCAGCTCTCAAGGAACAGATAGCATAGATCAGGCATGTCTGCAGAGCATTTTAAGAGGTAGATTCGGCTCTGAGAGAGACTCCAAGCCTGCGGAAATTCATCCACGTCCTCCATCTAACACACTCAGCACCCTGGGCTTGTTCTCGCCGTAGGACCTTTGCTCAGCAAACTGCAGCATCCGAGTCTTTGTTCAGCCTTCCCTCTAGGGCAGCGGTTCTCAACCTGTGGGTCACGACCCCTTTGGGGGGTCGAATGACCCTTTCACAGGGGCCGCCTGATTCATAACAGTAGCAGCATTACAGTTATGAAGTAGCAACGGAAGTAATGTTATGGTTGGGGTCACCACAACATGAGGAGCTGTGTGAAAGGGTTGCAGCCTCAGGAAGGTTGAGAACCACTGCTCTAGAGAGACTGTCTCACCATATTCTCCAAAATTGCTACCACCTCTTCTCCCTTCTCTGGGCATTTCGTAGCTCTTACCATTGCCCGAGACAAACTTTTTTGTTTAATTTATTGTCTGCCACTCCATTAGAAGGTGTGGGACTCTTCCTTGTTCTTGTATATATTCTCACAAATCTATATTCTAATCAAGAGTCATTGTTTTTCTGGACAAATGAGAGCTCCATTAAGCCTGTCTGCTTCAGGCTGAGCTAGCTGGTCAATTAATAGCAGACACTTATTAAAGGCTTTTTTCTATGATAAGCATTTACATGCAATATCTAATATAATGCCATAATACTATGAAACTGTTACTATTTATGTTATAATTTACAAATGAGGAGCTTAAAAGCTAAGTGCTTGCTGAAGGTCATCTTCTTGCAGTTAGCAGCTGTCTTTGGGTTGTAACCCAGGTAGTTCTTCGTCTAGGCTATATTGCCTCCAAGAGAGACCTCCGCAAAAAGGCTTCAATAGCTGAATTAAGGATGTGAGCACTGACTGGACCCACAGGGCTGGCCAGTAGCTCTCCCCGTAGTAGTGGCCTTTGAAGGAGCCATGATGTGTCTGCTAACCACGAGGCCAGTGGTTCAAAACCAACAGCCGCTCCACAGGAGAAAGTTAGGGCATTCTATTCCTGTAAAGGGTTAAGTTCTCAGAAACCGATGGGGCAGGTCCACTCCGTCTTATATGGCCACTGCGAGTCAGCTTCGATCTGGCGGCAGTGGGTTTGGAGGGGTTTGTACATTGTATGCCTTTAACAAGAACTTTTTTTAACTCTAAGAATTCAGTGATGCCAAGTAGGTTCTGATTGTTTCCGTGAACTTGATAGAGTTTTCATAAAGTAATCATAAGATGGTCAAGTATTAGCAGCATTTATTATTTCTGTCATTTCTATCAACTCACTTTTGTAGCCTTCCTGAGGAAAGGACGTGGGGGTGGGGGTGGCATTTGACCTCCTCTGGCTCCCAAGGTTGATTGCCACATGGCAGAGGTCAGACCTGCCTCCACCTGCCATCCCTTTATTTCAGCCCTATTTAGACACCAATTCTCCCTCCCACAGCTCTTGACTTCTGTGGCTGGGTTCTAGAATTCACTGCAGTGGCCACACTGAGCTCACAGATGATGTGCACCATTAGGGGCTTTATCAGGCAAATTAACAGGGGGAAAGTGCCCATGATAGAGTTGGTCCGGCAGTGTGGTTTCTTCTTTGTTGTGCCTGCAGGCAGGCCTCTCTCAGGGCCTCAGCCCTTCATTGGGCCTCTGTCCTGCTCAGGCAATGTTACAAAGCCCTTTGAGGACTGGCAATAAGGCATGCCCCTCCATTGTAAGCATCGACCTGAAGATGCCCAGTTCTTTCTCTGAGAGTCAGAAAACAGCTCCCCCAATTAAGTGCCCAGAGGCACCCTACTCCACAAGCCAGCATTTCCCTCAAAGCACCCATTTTCACTTGCTCTGAGGTCTGGGAAGTCCACTGCTCTGGCTCCTAGTTCTGTTGTTGCATTGCTACTGTGTCACTCCTCTGGTGACATCGCAGTCTCCTGGACCAAGGAGGTTCCATGTGAAGGGATCTAGGGGTCCAAAGGACGGGATCTACTCCTGGCTCTTCTCTCTTGCTGGTAGTGAGAGTCCCCTCTCCCTGCTGCTGCGGAGGCTGATTCTATTTCCAGAAGAGTGACCATTACAAAGAACTGTGCTAACAATAATGATAGCCGACTCACAGAATCTGCACAGTGTCTTCCCACATCTTCTTACCCAGGCCCATCAGGAAAAGGAAGATCGTTTGGTGGGAACAACAAAAGTCGTGGCTCCAAGAGCCATACTGTTCACAGCATTGCACTTCACCCATTCTGTTCTGCTCACAAGTTTTTACAGACAGAGTTGATGTACCGATAGGTCCCCTGAGGATTTATTCCTGGGATCCCCGGTGAGAAAGACAAGACTTTCTACTCCCATCAAGAGGTACAGTCTTAGAAGAAACCCACAGGGGCAGGTTTATCCTGTCCTGTAGGGTCACTATGAGTCAGCATTGACTTGATGGCAGGAAGGTTTCAGTTTTAAGGGAGGAGAAAACCTTGGGATCCTGAACCAAGCTGCTCTGAGATACGAACTTTCTTTAAGACCAAGTGGGCTGCCACAGGTAATGCGTGAATACCGCCTTTAAACTGGACATTCTTGCTACGAGTTTCCGTGATATATAATAGCAACCCCTAAGGAAAGCCCCTTGAAGCAAACCTGGTCAGCACCTCACTGGAATGGGTTCATAGTGTTATGTGCTCCTCGGCTGGAAAGAAAAGATCAACGGGAAGGGGTGAAGAAGGGTGTGAAAAGTCGAAACTGGACCTTGAACTGCTGCTTTCCGGGCTCAAAACTGGAACAGACCTGAATTTGTACAGTGTGACTGAACTTGAATGATAACCAGAGCAGGGACAATTGCATGTCAGAGCCATACTGGCAACCTAACCTTCCTCTTAGAAAACAGGGCAGTGTGTAGGTTACGTAGCCAGCAAGTCGTAGCCTGCAGGATCAGAAACAATAGTGCTCCGGTCTCAGATAGTAACTCACTGTGGATGTGTGTCTCTCCACGTTGCTGTGCCGGCCTCACTGTGCCTTTTCTGAGCCTCTCATGCCAGAGCTTTGATCGGTAATTTTCTCATTTCAACTATTATTCTGCCTCACCCAGATGTTTCCAAAGCAGGCCTATCCGGATTTTGCTTGATTGACCATGACTCCACCACTTCAAACTGTTTCAAGGCCTGAACAAAACATACAGCCCAAGTGTCCAAACTTCTTTTACTACGAGCTTGTCTGGCATGTCTTTGTGTAGCGGCAGGACACAGGAAAACGAACAAAGATTGTTGATTACCTCTTTCCTGTCCATTTGGTGAACATCAGTCATTGTTGACCAAACTCTTTAGTCAGAAAAGCAGCTTTATATTGAATAGTAAACCTGAGTATGTTGTAACCCAATCGTGTGTGTGTGTGTGTGTGTGTGTGTGTGTGTGTGTGTGTGAAACAACTCCAAATGATGCTCGGTGACACCCGCAGACAACCTTGTGTTTGCATCAACTTTGAAGAATGCACCACTGTCATTTATAATTGCAGCGGTTTCATTTCTGTGTACATTGTTTGTAAAGCTCTAGCTGCACAGGCCCAGGAGAGATACTAACGGCTGGTATTGTTAAGGGAGTTGAACTTCCTTCTCAGAGAAATATTAAGATTTTTTCCCACATAGCTACATAAATTTCATATGAATGGTTAGGGATTAATAGTTGATAGAAGGGCTCTGTGTAATCTTGAACTGAAAGGAAAAACCTGAAAAATTAACAGCAGAACCTGGAATGAGGGGCCCAGTTGGTTCCCCCTTGACTGCGGGTTTGCAGTCTTCTATGTGGGCAGTTGGATGATGCAGCAGCCAGTCCCAGTGCCTACCGGAGCTTTTCAAACTGGGAAGGTTGGCAACTGCCTTTAAACATTTGTTCTAAAAATATTTTGGTTAAAGCACAGTGTGGCTGATAGGGAGGGGCCCCTTGATGATGGATTTGAAGGAGCACGATTTTAAAGCTGCTGGATTATATATTGATGATGCTTTTGACTTTCCTGGTGCTCGTCCAAGACCATTGTGACATTTAATCATAGGATTCCAAACTCGTTTGGTCTACCTTCCCCCTTTTCAGAACAGCAACAGCAACAAAAGTACTCAGTACCCCTCCGGCCATGAAGAATGTTCATACTGTAGCCCATAATCCAGGAGATAGTGTAGGTGTCTGCTTTTGTTGCCCCCCCAGGATTGCTCCAACAACTCCTAGGGGCAGGTGTCATCCACTTTGGGAAACACTCCTTCCGTTCTCCCCAACTCCCCATCTCCATATTATACCCTGTCCTACAGATGATAAAACTGAAGCCTTGAAGTCTACAGCATGGCGGGTAAGTGAAAGAGTGAGTGAAACAGAGCATGCGACAGACTTGATTTTAACTCATGGCTCCGTTGTATGTCAAATAAAGTTTTGGCCTTTCAATTTCCTCATCTTTACAAGGGGTTAAATAATAATGGCTGCCACGCCGGGCAGATTACAAGTGATCATATATGTAGTGTTAGATGCTCTACCTGTATGTGCATCCTCATGCTTTATGAGTCGCACCTACCCAGTCGGTGCCAGCTGTCACTGCCGTCAGTGCTGGTGTCCATTCTGAGTGGTGTTGGTGTCGGTCAGTTCTCTTAGGAGGCCGAACAGAGCAGCCATCTCCGGTGTTCAACTCTTTTCATTAAGACCATTTAATTCCCTGTGTGCTATCTTCTAAAATGCAGCGGCGGGTTTTATGGTGGGGCTGTTGATTTTTTTTGCATCAGAGACGAGCCTCTCATTGTGCCTTTGGTTTCAGCGAGACCCGTGCGGAAGATGAGGAAGGCCTCTATGACTGTGTGTACGGGGAGGACGAAGGCGGCGAAGTCTACGAGGACCTCATGAAAGCGGAGGAAGCACATCAACCCGTAGGACTTTCCCTTGCCTTCTTTTTACCTTCCTCTAAGCGTGGTACAGGCATAGCTCAGAGATATGGGGGGCTCTGCCTCAGACTGCTGCCATGAAAGTGAAAGTCCCAGTAAAGCAAGTCACCTGGCTTTATCTTTGATTTCTCAGTGCATATAGCCATTATGTTCACACCCACAATAAAATGATTTTTTAGAAGTTATAGTCAATAGGCTGTAGTCTAGTAAGTGGGCAATAGCATCACGGAAAAGTTGGGAATATTGTGAGAATTACCCAAGAGTGGCAGAGAGACAGGTGAGCACATGCTGATGGACTTGCTCGATGCAGGGTTGCCCCAGACCAATTCATTTAAAAAAAGAGCAAGGTCTTCAAAATGTAGCAAGTAGAGTGCTGTAAAAGGAGATATGCCTGTATTTTCCAGGGTCACACAGCCTCTAGAAGCATTTCTGGGATCCGGAACCCGGATCTCCTGACTCCTAACCTGGGGCCTTTGCACTCAGTCATGCTGCCCGGCTCTCCTGGGAAAAGGCTCCTGGTATTAGTATACCATAGAGGAGTGTATTGCAGGAAGAATTCCTCTTAAAAATAAAAATAAAAATGCTGACGAGCTGATATACTTGCTATTGCACCTGGAGACATATAATCCAGATTTCTGCGGTTTAAAAGAACCACGGGGAATCTCTTTCTCAAACCCTTTCATTTTACTAATGAGGGCTCAGCCTGACAGATGACATGCCACTCCGGGAATAAAGACACTGTGGCCAGGGAATCAGAAATTGTGATGTTATGAAAGGAAGTCTCTTATAAAGCAGGTCATTTTGTTCCCTTTAGATTGAATTTGATGTAGGAGAAATATGTGCCCAAGAATATGTCTTCGTATGCACTGGGTGTTGCTGTAAGGCACTTTCCCATTTTGTTCCATTATGAGTCCCCCTGGCTTTTTCTACAGTTTTATAAACTTTTATAAACTTAATTTCAGATCCTGTTATACTAATTATGTGTCTAAATAGCTTTATATGCCAATGGAATATCTAGAGCATTTAGAAGGAATTAGTTTGAATTGTGTTCTCATCTATAATTTGAAACTGGCCCCCAAGAACATATCGGTTGCGTGACATATTCTTTGAAGCCAAAGCCTGTTCTTCATGAGCTCAGTGGTGATTTCTGTTTCTTTATGAGCTCACTCACTGTCCGGGACCCCCTGCCTGTCATAGGAGGCCAGCGGATTGTCTGGAGTTCTCTTTAAGGAGGAGGAGCTCTTTGGGACAGAACCAAGTTAACGCGGCTTGTAGTGAGTAGACAGAGGGGAATGAGCCTTTAGCCCACTGCATGACCCGACAGATGACCCAGGGCAGAATAGACAGACCACCCATAGAATTATTAGGTGATAGGGTATCGTCTGTACTTCCTATGATTGCCAATGATCTTGGGTGCCAGCAGATGGTCTTCTTCGGTATCTCTCCGATGGCATTCTTCACTCGTCTGCCCGTACCAGACTGTTCACACAATAGCCCTCACGTAGATTGAATGGGCCCTGCCTGCGCACCTGGGAAGGTGCCATGTAGTACCTAAAATGCTTATATCTTCTAAAACGTCTGATGATGACACTGTAATGATTTCCACTTTACAAAAGAGAAAGTCAAGTCTCAGAGAAGATAACAAGCTTGTGCAAAGTCACAAAAGTACTAATAGCCAAACTGGCAGATGATGCCAATTTCCTCTCGCCCCCAAGTCTCTGATGTTAGTATTAGGCCCTACTCGCTCCAGGACAAAGAGCTAACTGCCAAGAGGTGATCTTTTAGTCATTCCTGAAGGGTTATCCCTAGCAAATATATCTTTATTATTTTTGCGATTATCTCTGTCAACCCAGAAAATCATTCTGATTCATAGCAGTCCTATTTAGAGTTTCCAAGACTGTCGATCTCCTCTGGAGTAGACAGTTTTATTTTCCTTCGGCAGAGCTGCTGGTAGGTTTGAACCACCCACCTTGTGGTTATTTATCCAATACTCATGTTAACAGCACCACCAGTGCTTCTGAGTATGCTGTTCATTCCAGGGGATCCTATGACCACAGGAATAGTGTTTCCAGGTTCAATAACATGATAATAAAAGAGATGCTTTACTTTAGTGGTTGTTCATTGGGCTGTTAAGTGCAAGGTCAGCAGTTCAAAACCACCAGCCACTATGTGGGAGAAAAATGAAGCTTTTTAATCCCATGGTGTTATAGTCTTGGAAATCCACAGGGACAGTGTTACTCTGCTTATAGGGTTGCTGAGTCGGAACTGACCTGATGGCCGTGAGTGAGTGATTTAAACTCAGAAGCTTAATTTTAATCATGAAAATCGTTTCATTTACATTGTACAACATGATTAAAAAAATAACAAACCAAAGATTCTTCACAGAGATGAGCCAGTCAGGGTGCAGTATAGCACTGATGAAATATGCAACTTTCCTGTGGTTATTTAATACTCCCCCGCCCCACTCCACTATCATGACCCATATTCTATCTTACAAATATGGCTAGACCAGAGCATGTGCACAGGTACAGATAAGAGCTGGAAACACAGGAAATCCAGGACAGATAAGCCCCTCAGGAAAAACACTGAGAGTAGAGATACCAGCGGGGGAAGGGGAAGGTGTTGGGAGAAAAGGGGAATTGATCACAGTGATCTACGTATAACCCACTCCCAGGGGGATAGACAACAGAAAAGTGGGTGAACGGAGACATTAGTCAGTGTAAGACATGAAAAAATAATAATTTATAAATTTTCAAGGGTTCAAGAGGGAGATGGGGGGGGGAACATGAGGAGCTGATACCAAGGGCTCAAGGAGAAAGAAAATGTTTTTTAAATGATGATGGCAACATATGTACAAGTGTGCTTGACACAGTGGATGGATGGTGATAAGAGCTATATGAGCCCCCAATAAAATGATTTTTTTTTAAAGATTCTTTACAAATGCAATTAAATTGTTCTTTTTATTAGGTACTTTACTAGAATGAAACACTTAAGAAAATAAGCAATGATTTTTATTTCTTTTACTACCAAGTCGATAATACACTTAGTACATAAATCATTGATTTGATGATTCTGATTGCAGAAATGTCCTGAAAATGACATAAGAAGTTGTTGCCTCACAGAAATCAAACAGACAGAAGAAAAATACACAGAAACCCTGGAGTCCATCGAGAAAGTAAGTCCTCAGGCATTACTGTTGACACACGTATGCACACTGTGTGCAGCCCTATTCGTGCTACGAGAACGGATTGGTTTCTTTGTCTCAGAAGGCACTGTTCTGAGGCCGGGAGACCTCCATAAGTGCCACAACAGTAGCCCCTGTGGAGCGTGCATATGCTCACAGGGTTCCAGCTGTAAACAAGTACCTCTAGACGGTATCGTTCTCTCACAGAGAGCGGCTGATAACTTCCAACTGTTGACCTTGTGATTAGCAGCCCCGTTTGTAACCCACTACCCCACTAGGTACTTTACTACCATAAGTCGACGTTAAAAATTAAACTAGCTAAACTCACTGCCATCGAGTCGATGCTGGCTTCCAGCACCCCTATGGCACAAGGCAGAACTGCGCTGTGGATTTCCGAGACTAATTCTTTATGGGAGTAGAACCCAGTCCTCCTCCTGAAGGAGCAGCTGGTGGTTTTGAACAGCTGACCTTATGCTTCGTAGGCTAACACGGCCACTATACCACCAGAGCTTCTTGATTAGAAGTTAGGTAAATAAAAACAAAGAGAAAAACTTGGAAGTTGAGGAGGAGGAAAAAAAGATATGGGAAAAATTTGTTTAGAAAAGAAGGTGGGTTGATTAATGAGGAACGGATCATAAGATTAGGTGGGATTACACCACAGATTATATTTATGGTGATGTTGCATTTAAGACTATCACTTCACGCTTATTCGCTGCAGCAACCTAGATTTAATCAGCATTTTTACTTTTCTTGGAAAGCATAATAGAAGGAGAAAGGGTAATAGTGCTTCCGGAGTGTAAGCAGGTAAAGAGGAAAGCGAGGGACCTAAAGGTTGAGGTTGAGGAACATGGTAAATGGATTGATGAACTCAGGTCCAGTTGAAACATTCTTTGAACAAGGGAATGTCCGTGGAAGAGCCTGACGGTGCAGTGTTCACGCACTGGACTGCGAACAGTAAGGTCAGGATTGGAAGCCACCAGCCACTCCTTGGGAGAAAGACGAGCTGTCTACTCCCGTAGTTAGTCTCGGAAACTCACAGGGCAGTTGTACCCTATCCTGTAGGGTCACCATGAGTAGCGTGGGTTTGGTTTTTGAGTTTGAATTAACCAGTACTGTTTTTCTCTTTCTCACTAATGGAAGCACTTACTGCCTGGACTACTTATTTTATACCTTTTATGTATACTGATTTTTGTCTTTTCATCTGTAAAAATTTTAAGGCAAGAACAGTTTGTTTCTGCTTCTTTGTGTCAGTAACACTGATACCAGTTGATGGCTGGTTGACGAGAAAACTCATGTAGACTAGAGAGAGTAATGCTTACTGAACATTTCTGTCTTCCCTTTGGTAGTATTTCATGGCACCACTAAAACGATTCCTGACAGCCACAGAATTCGACTCGGTATTCATCAACATTCCTGTAAGTGAAAATACCCGAGCTGGAATTGTGGTGGGGGCAGGCTTGGGAAAAGCCCTGATTTTAGTATCGCAGTGCCGATCCCTGTTTTAAACCGTTCCTCTTTCCTTCTAGATTTTTAACAGTTTGACCTTTTATTCCTGCCTCCCCGGTCCTTAGAACCTTACTTTCTAGAAATTAACCAGTGATTTGTCATTAACCCAAAGTGAGTTAAGATGCGTGCCGACTGTAACGGTGAGCTGTTTGTATTACTCTGTACTGGTGAGCACACAAGTAGGCTTTGAGTTCAGTGATTCCTGCTGTACCCAACATGTGTCTTGTGAGAGTTTCCCTCTGCCTCATGCTTTCCTGCTCTGCTGCCCCGCCCCCGTCCCCCAGGACAACCTCACACTCTTCTTGTCCTGCTGCTCTTCTCTACATCACCCCCCCCCTCCTAAGTCCCTCTTGTTTGGCGTTTCCTGGGGCTTCCAAATGAATTAACCGGCCCACTGGTTAGTTTCTGACATGCACTGTTTCCGTACTATGTGACAGACTATTTAAATGGCCCAGTGTGAGGAGATTGCCTCTATATGTACGTAAACAATGCACATGGGAAAGCCCCTCTCCTCATCTGAGGAGATCTGCAGGTTTAGAGAATGGTAGGCAAGCCTCCCATCGCTCCCAGCGGCACTCGGGCCGTGCACAGGCTGGCCAGCCTCACCACAGACAGACTTCCTACATCTGATGGTGCGCTGTGTTCCGTGCTGCTGAGCACCAGTTGGTTAGTTGTGGCTTGTCTTTTTTTTTTTCTTCTGGTTTTGGCCACACGGAGACATTATTCTTGACCTTCAACATAGCTAGAAGAAAATGCTTACTGTGCCAGATTGCATTTTAGCATAGGACAGATCTTACATAATAAGATGTTAAAGTACTTAAGCATGGTTCTTCAAACATTGTACCCCGTTTGACATTCTTTATTCTTAATTGTTGTCTCATGATTTGCAACAACATGCCCAGACCAACATATTCTAGTTTCGTTTTGACCCTACTAAGGTAGTGGTTATGCCTCGGACTGCTAACCGCAAGGCCAATGGTTTGAAACCACTGAGAGACAAGGCTTTCAACTCCTGTAAAGTGTTACAGTCCTAGAAATCCACAGGGGCCGGTAGACGCTGTGCGATCGGGTCACTGGGAGTCAGGATCAGCTCCGTGGCGGGGAGGTTGGTTGTGTGGAGGTGAATGTGCACTGTGAGGTCAGTGAGTGCCAAGGCCCACACCGGGAGAGACGGGATGAACACATCGATCCAGATCCCCTCATTTCTTGGCTGGGCATGTATTTGCTGCCTGGCTGAAAATTACTTATTGAGGGGAAAAAAATTGAAATCCCGTCTTGCGTTGCTCTAGTAAAGTGTCCAGAACAATTTATTTGCTCCTTCTTTATGCCATTAACTGTCTGGTTTCGAGTAATTTACTATGATTATTGTTAGCTTAGCACCAGGGCACCACTAATTGACCAAAGTACAAATCTAAATTTTCATGTCCCAAGGACATGAATCATTACTTTGTCCTGTCAATAAAACATTAAGCAGTTGGGTAGTTTTATCTAAAGTGTAAAGTGATTATAACATGAAAATGAGCTGTACATATTTTTGTACAAGGAGCAAATTACCCTTCAATAACTGGTGATATAATTTCTCCTTTTAGGGTTTGATGTTTCAAGTCAGATTGAAACTGCTGTTTCCTATGCACATGCCCGCCTGCCTCAATTCTTCCTCACTTTCTCCCTTCTCCCTTGCTCTTTCTTTCCTGCCCTTCTCCGTTCATTTATTTTAGAAATAACACCTTAGGGAGTTGGCTGAAGGTTCACACAGTCGTTTTAGCTTCCCATTCAGCAGTCTGTATGCAACATGTTCTCTGGCTGGTTTTTTTCTTCACAATGCACGGACATCCTCACAGTCTCCATTCTCCTTGCTACATTCCCCCTAACCTAGTTTCCCGGCCCCTTACGTTCTCAGTTTAGGTTTAAAGCAATTGTTGCCCACTTAGCCACGCATAGGCGATTTCTTCAAGGAGCACAGTACTGATAGCTGACGTTCATTATTTTTTGATCCAGCTTGTTATTAGCTGAACAGTGACGTCAGTGGGTAGCTTCCGCTCACTGTATGATGAGCTGGTTTTTGTTAGGTGTCATCAAGCCTGTTCCACCCATAGTACATGCTGTACAATAGAGGGAAGCCTGCCTGGTCCTGGCCCATGCTCACAGTGAGCCTGATTCAAGCCTGTTCCACCCATAGCACACGCTGTGCAATGGAGGGAA